CAATGTATAGGATAACCAGTAAATACTGAAATGAGATAGGAACTCAGTCTTAAATCTTCAAATTTAGTTCCCTTTTCACTTAATGTTACTGCACAAATCATAGCAGGTATTTTAATACATTAACAATAATATTCTTATTCCTTAATTGATTTAGAATCCAGAAGTAAATTTTGTTGGTTTGCGTTCCCATAAATCTACTTGAAAACAAAATTATTTTCATAAATGCATACAGCTCTCCAATATCAAATGAGCCTAAAACTAGAAAGGTAAGATTTTATTGTAATTTGAAAACTAAATCATACTTCATACACCTCCTTTGAACTTGACAATAAGACCCAAATGACTAACATTGTACACCATAACTTTATAATTGGTATTCTTTAGCAAATACTTTAACTTATTAAAAGTATGTAACTGAAGGAAATATTACTTCAGCTGGTATTGGTCAATATTATTAAAAGATGGATTTTCTTCCATTAATATCACTTTGCAAGAAAATATACAAATTGTCCCTATGGGCTATGCATCAAATGCTGACATCTTTTAAATCACATTTTGAGTTCATTTTTTTAAACTATGAAAATAAGTGTTTATAAACTTAAGCAATAAAAATTAGCACTTCAGCTTGTATTTAAGTACACAAATCTATTTGGCATTATTCATTACCTGGAAAATTTTCACATAACACTTCTATCGGTGTAGCTCGTTTTGTATCTCCAATTTTCTGATATCTCTCTTTTAATGTGTCAGCCTAAAACAAACACAAAAAAGAATCCTGAGAATGTGGTAATTTTAGAATTATTTAGCTGGAAAAGAGGACCTTAATAAATCTTAACATTTTATGAAATTATGAAATTCAATAAGGAAACAAAAACAATTACCTTTAAGCCTTGCCAAGGAAGACTGCCTCTCAGAAAGTACATGAACATATGACCTAAAGCTTCTAAATCATCTCTTCTACTTTGCTCTGAAATAAAAGAACATAAATTTCACTTTTCTCTACTAGTTAAGGATGCAAGAATGGAGAACTGATTGTTTCATTATGTATAAACTAATTTCCAAAAGTTCGATATATAAATACAAAATACAGATCTAGTGGCTATGGATGACAAAATCATGTCTAGTTAAACGATAATGTTTTTACATTAAAATTACAGTGCATCTTAAAAATATGCCACTATGATTTTTTAGATGCTATTAGAGATTTATTTATGTATTTAGATCTCTATTCATGGAAATAATGGCCAAAGGAAACAGGATTTCATGGTCAAAGAGAGTCACTGTGTGCTACAGCTCTGACTTCAGATTCAGAACATAACACATTAAAGGTTCTGAGAAGCATAGAGTTAAAAATGTTTAACTTTATTTAACACTGCATTTCCTAAACTTATATGAGCACAAAACTTCCATCACACATACTCTCCATTAACATTAAAAACAATTAGTATTGTGTATATTTTAAGAAATACTTGTGTTCGACATATACCAACATTAATAATCCCCCCACTATCACCAAAAAATCCCACTAGGACAAATTGTCATTTTCAAGCTGTTGTCTTAGTAACAAAATGTTGTATAGCACATAACTGCATGACAATCACAGACCAAGTCAGGGAGACATAATATAAATATTTGCTGACAATGATATTTAAATTTTTTGACACTGAAGTTAAATAGTTAAGATTTCTTGATGTTTTAAAATAATACAAAAATGCTAACAATGAAAGAAAAATAATACTTTACTGAGAGGATGTTTGTATCCAAAATATTTTATCCAAATGAATAATCATACTATCAACGCAGTACTAAATGCTTTCGGAAAAGTAAACTTCAATGTATGTATCTGAACTAGGGTGAAAGGGTAAGAAAAGGTTTTAATTTTTACTATGTGTATTGTCAAAACATTCTATTCTTCTATAACACTTGCTACAGTTTAAAAATAATGTTTGTGTAATTATTATTTAATTACTCTCCTTCCACCAGACTGCCAGTTGCAGAAGAGCAGTTTTCTTTTTGGCTCACTAGCCTCAGGACCTAGCGTGATGACTGACACAGAGCAGGCACTCAACACACATACTACTGAAATAAACAAATGGGGCTGGGTGCAGTGGCTCGCGTCGGCATCCCAACACTCTGGAAGGCTGAGGGAGGACTGCTTGAGGCCAGAAGTTCAAGACCAAACTGAGCAACATAGAGAGACCCCTGTCTTTACAAAACATTTAAAAATTTAAGAAAGAAAGAAATGAATATTTGAAAATATATAATATTAAGTACATGTCCCTTTCCTATAAAGCATAGAGAAAATATCTAGAAGAATATGCAAAATTGATAGTAACTAGGGCTATGAGATTGAAGAACTAGAGAAGGGACCTCACCTCAAAATTCACATTTCACATAAAATGTAGTAAAATGGAGAATTTTTCTTTTGTTTCTTATACTTTTACAATAAAAATGTAAAGACATGCTATTAAAAATAGCTAACTTTTCTAAAATAAGTAAAGTGGACTTAAAGTTCATTTTAAATTCACTAATGAAAGTGGGGATATGAATAACATGAATAAAACTAGTAATGACTAGTTTTGACTAGTAATGACAAAAATTTCACTTCATTAGGTTCTGAGAGTCTTAAGAATGAAAAGCCATGCAAAGAGAAAAATATTTCTGAACTCCAGCTGAGAATCCAAATCACCTCCAAAACTTTATAAAAACTCAGATGAGCAGGCTTACTGCTAGCAATTGATTCCTTGGGTATGAAGTACGATAGAGGAATGTACATTTTAAAAGCTTAGCAGATGATTCTGAGGTACAGCCAGATTTAATAACCACTGAAAGAGAAACTTCACTGAAGTATAATTAATAACATAAGAAGTAAAATTCATAATTTACATATATTAAAATATACTCACAATAAGGGGACGGTTTGATAAGTTTTGACAACACACACCCGCAAAACTAATCCCACAATTAAGAAGCTTTTTTTTTTTTTTTTTGAGACAAGAGACTCACTCTGTCACCTGGGCTAGAGTGCCGTGGCGTCAGCCTAGCTCACAGCAACCTCAAACTCCTGGGCTCAGGCGATCCTCCTGCCTCAGCCTCCCAAGTAGCTGGGACTACAGGCATGCGCCACCACGCCCACCTAATTTTTTCTGTATTTAGTAGAGACGGGTCTCACTCTTGCTCAGGCTGGTCTCAAACTCCTGACCTCAAGCACTCCTCCTGCCTCGGCCTCCCAGAGTGCTAGGATCACAGGCATGAGCAACCGCACCCGGCCAAGAAGCATTTCTGTAATACTGGAAAAGGCTCCCATGTCCTTTGCCTACTATCCCCTTTTACCCACACAGTCTCCAGCCTCAGGCGACCACTTAACTGCTTTCATCACTACAGATTAGGTTTTTTAATAGAGTCTCACAAGAATGGAATCATACAGTATAGATTCTTGTCTGAATTCTTACACTCAGTGTGTTGTCCAGATTCATCGATGTTGTTGTGTGCGTCAGTAGTTTGTTACTTTTTATTGCTGAGTAGTACAGCACAATATATTTATCCATTCACCTACCGATGGACATTCGGGCAGCTTTCCATAAGGTTTTCATTTCTCTTGGGTAAATATCTAGGAGAGGGACTGCTACATCATATGGTAAGTGTAGGCTTAACTTTATAGGAAACTTCTAAACTGTTTTCCAACAGGGCTATGCCATTTCATATTTCCACCAGCAATGTATGAGAGTTCCAGTTGCTTCAGGGCCTGTCCAACATTTAGTACGGTAAGACTTTTTAATTTTAGTGCCTTTAAAGTCTTAGCATACTATGATTTAATTTGCATATCACTGGTGACTAATGTTGGTGAACTTCATTTCATGTTTTATTTCACACACATATTTTTGTGAAGCATTTATTCGAATATTTTGCCCATTTTTGAAATTGGGTTATTTGTCTTATTAAAAAGATATGAGTTCCATGTATATTCTGGATACAAGTCATTTTCAGATATAAGTTTTTGCAAATACTTTCTCCCTCTAAGACTATAGCTTGCTTTTTTTCTCTTGAGTATCTTTAAAAGAACAGAAGTTTTACATTTTGATGAAGTCCAATTTATCACGGTTTCTTTCCTCTTATTGTTTATGCTTTTTTAGGTGCAATCTAGGAAATCTCTGACTAACCTCACAATCACAAAGATTTTCTCTTATTTTTTTTTCTTCTGGCAATTTTATAGTCTTTGTTTCTTACATTTAACTCTATTATTCATTTTGAAGTTTTTTGTTGTTGTTTGTTTTTGCTTTTGGGTGTAGGGTAAGGGTTTAGATTCATTTTTTTAATATCGATATCTAGTTATTCTCACACAGTTTTTTGGCAAGACTATCCTTTCCCCTTGAATTGCTTTTGTACTGTTCTCAAAAATCATTTGACCATCTATGCATGAGTTTATTTCTGGACTCTGTATTTTGACCAATTTATCTATATCTATCTTCATATCTATACCACTCAAAATAAGTAGAAGAAAGAGGAAAACAATAAGTGTCAATGACCAGACAAGGACCAACAGACAATCAATAGAGAAAACCAGTGAAAACAAAAGCCATTTATTTGAAAAGTTCAATAAAGTCATTAATACTCTCACTAGGCTAAAAGAAAGAAATACAAATTACCAATAGGAACAACAAAGGGAGCATCAGAACAGATCCTATAGACATTAAAAGAATATCACAAACCAACATTATACAACAAATTCAACAACTTAGATGAAATGGGACAAATACCTTGAAAACTATTAATTACCAAAATTACCTGAAGGAAAAAAATGTGAATAGCTCCATATCAACTGAAGAAATTTAATTTATAATTTAAAACCTTCCCAATATATAATCCAAGGCCCAGATGGCATCACTGGTGAATTCTCTTAAACAGTTAAGGAATAATACCAATTCTACACAAACTCAGAATTAGAAGAGTTCCCAACTTACTGCATTACCCTGTTACCAAAAACAGACAAAGACATTACAAGTAAAGGAAACTATAGGAAATATTCCTCATAAACACAGACACAAAATCCTTAAAAAGATAATGATGCATCATGACTAAGTAAGTTTCATCCCGGGAATGTAAGTTTGATTTAACTTTCAAAAATCAATCAATGTAATTCACCACATTAATAGAATAAGATATAAATCGTATGATCATCTCAGATATAGAAAAAGCACTTGACAAAACCCAACATACTGTCATGATAAAAAAAAAAAAAAAAAAAACTCTCAGACTGTCACATTTCTGTAGCCATTTTAGAAAGATGAATGGTCAAAATTTGTTTTTCCAAAAAAAAAAAAAAAAAAAACTCTCAGAAAACTAGGAACAGAAGGAAAGTACTTTATCCTGACAAAGAACAGCTATAAAAAATGTACAACTAACAATTCCTAAATGGTAAAAGACACTCCTAAGATCAGGAAGAAAACAAAGATGTTCACTCTCGCCCTTTCTATTGAGTATTATACTGGAGGTTCTTACTAGTACAAAAAAGCAAGGAAAACAAAATTAGAAGATGCTTTTCTACTTAAGAATCCTACTCTCATATCTCAACTTTTTTCTCTGTCTAGCACTATTTCCATTTCAATCGAAATTTCAATGTTGGCGTGGATGTGGAGAGATAGGAACACTCATGCACTGCTGGTGGGACTGCAAACTAGTGCAACCTCTGTGGAAAGCAATACGGAGATACCTTAAAGAGATAAAAGTAGAAGCACCATTCGATCGAGCAATCCCATTACTGGGCATCTACCCAAAAGAACAAATGATGCTCTATAAAAAAGACACCTGCACCGAATGTTTATAGCAGCACAATTCACAATTGCAAAGATGTGGAAACAACCCAAATGTCCATCAATACATGAGTGGATTAATAAAATGTGGTATAGGTATACCATGGAGTACTATTTGGCTTTAAGAAACAATGGTGATATAGCACCTCTTGTATTC